CTTTTCTCTAGACTGGCCAGACCCAAATCCTGCAACTGTTCTTCATATGTTTTAGTCTCCAGGCCTTTAATCATCTTAGTTGCTCTTCTTTGCACTTTTTCCGAAGTCTCAACATCTTTTTTGTAATGTAGTGACCAAAATCAGATGCAGGATTCCAGGTGTGGCCTCACTAAGGCTTTATAAATATAAAGTACTACCAGTAATACTTCACCTGATTTTGTTTCTATGCTTCTGTTTATACAACCATTGTATAAACAATGTATTAGCTTTTTTGGCTGCTGCCACACATGGCTGACTTATGTTTAAGGGATCATCTACTAGGACTCCAAGGTCCCTCCCACAGTGACTGTTTTTGATCCAGGTTTTGCCTAATCTGTACTTGCACCTTTGATTTCTCCTGCCCAGATGTAAAATCTTGCTTTTCCCCACGTTAAATATCATTTTGTTGGATAGGGCCCATTGTTCAAGTCTGTCAAGATCTTTTTGGATCCTGACCTTGTCTTCTGAGGTGTCGGCTATTCCTGCCAGCTTAGCCAACATCTCAGAAGATCCAAAAAAATTCAAAGCACTTGAAGCAACGGATGGAAACCAATTAAGGAGAGAACCAGCCTAGAAGTAAGGAGAAATTTCCTGACAGTGGGAACAATAAATCAGTGGGACAGCTTCTGTCCAGAAATTGTAAGTGTCCCATCACTGGAGGTTGCAAAGAAAAGGCTGGACAGTCATTTGTTCAGAATGGTGTAGGGCAGTGGTTCTCAACCTTTCTAATGCCGCGACCCCATAATACAGTTCCCCATGTTGTGGTGACCCCCAACCACTTATACATCACCGGGTGCCAGGGGTGTGGCCAAAGAAAAGGGGGAAAAAATTGGCGGACAGCCTTGTTTGGTCGACCCCCGTGAAATGGTCGTTCGACCCCAAATGGGGTCCCGACCCACAGGTTGAGAACCACTGGTGTAGGGTCTCCTGCTTGAGCAGGGGGTTGGACTAGAAGACCTCCAAGGTCCCTTCCAGCTCTGCATTCTATTCTGTATGCTGCTATGGGCAAAACACCCTTTAGATTCACACAACATCCAGAACCACATTCTAGCCGTGCAGAGTGGGTCCTACTATTAGGCTAGAGATGGTAACCAGCTTGCTTGTAGCTCAGGATATTGGGTGAGCTTAGCCTGAAACTACCAATTTGCCACCCCTTTCAGGATGCCAACCGCGGGCACCTGCAGAGCCATCTCTTCACGCCGAGGGGTAGCATCTGGTCGGTGACTGTGTGAAGGAGGCAGGGAGACAAAATGGCTCCTCACCTGGGACTCATCCGGCAGCTGGTCTCAAGTTACAGGCAACTCCCGGAGGAAGCCGAGACAGCACACAAGGGCCAGGAAGCAAAGCCAGCCGGTCCTCAGCAAGTGGGGTTCAGCCAGAAATATCACGGACCCAAATTCTTGCAAAATTGTGCTCCTTGCTGCTGTTGGGAGAAAGGGGCTTGGAGAAGAGGTGGTATGAAGTAAGGGGCAAGCAGTTCCCCACCCTCTCTTCACCCCCTTCTACTAAACCCAATTCCCATGAAGGAGCTGAAGTCAACACATCTTCAACGTTTCCAAGTTTGTCATGCAAGCTGGGTCCGTCCATCCTTAAATCAGGGGTGGTTATCTAAGGAGCAGCTGGTCGGCTTCACACTTCAAAATTATAAATGACCACGATGTCATTAGGCCTGAACTGGACAAGGTCTACGATGGCCCAGTGTGATTTCTGTAGTCAGCCAAGACAACAGTTTGTCCACCAGTGAAGAAGATCCACATCACGGGGAAACCTGTGGTCTCAGTCAAAGGTTGGACAATCGTTTGTCTGGAATGGTATAAGCTTTCTGCTTAAGCAGGTGGGGTTGGACTAGAAGACCTCCAAAATCCCTTGCAACTCCATTATTCCTCCTCTCTCAGGTCTTTTAAGTTGAGGTAAAGGAATGTGTCCCTTGCCAACAAAAGTGCGTATAGTCCAGGTCATGGTTTTCCCAGTTGCAATGTATGGCTGTGAAAGTTGGACCCTAAGAAAGGCTGAGCGCCAAAGAATGGAGGCCTTTGAACTCTGGTGCTGGAGAAGACTCCTGCGAGTCCCTTGGACTGCAAGGCATTCAAACCGGTCAGTCCTAGAAGAGATCAACCCCGACTGCTCTTTAGAAGGCCAGATCCTGAAGTTGAAACTCAAATACTTTGGCCACCTAATGAGAAGGACTCACTGGAGAAGGGCCTAATGCTGGGAAAGATGGAGGGCAATAGAAGAAGGGGACGACAGAGAATGAGATGGCTGGATGGAGTCACTGAAGCAGGAGGTGTGAACTTAAATGGACTCCAGAAGATGGTAGAGGACAGGAAGACCTGGAGGAACATTGTCCATGGGGTCGCGATGGGTCAGACACGACTTCGCAAATAACAACAACAACGTGTCCCCCAAATCTCCGTCAATAGAGAAATTTGGAGAACGTCTTGCGTGTTTGGTGGTTCAAGGAGTGAAGGTTTTCTCTTGCATGGGGGAGACATCTCTCCAGCTTTCTGTTTGAGGAAGGACACCCAGAAATGATTCCTTCCAAAGAGCAGACTGAGATAAATGAATTTAGGGATGAAAAGATGTGTAACACGAATCACCACGACCTCCATCCTCTGCTACCTCTGTTATCAATTTAGCTCTCAAGCTCTAACCAAACAAATGAAGAAATTATGAGCTTTATGAGAATAAGCAGAAGAACAGAGGCCTCTTCCCACCTTCCTTCGGCTTGGCCATTTAGCTCAGCCTGGCCTTCAATAAGCTTTTGGGCAACTGCCCACCCCAGCACTCCAAAAGCTGGAAACGTCAAACCGGTAGTGGCCGCCCGTGTGCTTGACCACCATCCGATTCTGGAGGACAGGGCCGCCACCCACGCAGTGCCCGTCCTTCAGAAGGAAGTCTGTGAGGGAGCGAGAAGTAACCAAATCTGCATTGGGGTCTGTTCCAGGCCTGGCCAATGTTCAGCTTCAGCCTGTCCTCCTCTGTTGTGGGGCTTCCAGCCGGGGACAGAAGCTACCGAGCGGTCCGTGGGGAGGCCTCTTGGCCTTCGCTGAGCACGGGAGGAACAGGCAGCAGCTGCTGCTTCCCATCCTTGCCAGCGACTGGATCCAAGAGAAGCGCCGAGTTGCAGAGAGGCAAGGAGGATGAGGCTGTGGTTTCAAAGGAAGGGAACCTCGATCCCCCCCCCCAAAGTATCTTATGAGGACATCGTGAAAAAGGAAATATTGCAGACATTTCTATTCTCCAGCCAGAGGAGAGTCAAGGAAAAGAGAAGGGTTGATAGAGGAGGGCCAGGGATGATAGAATAACAGAGCTGGAAGGAACCTTGGTGGTCTTCTAGTCCAACCCTCTGCTCAAGCAGGAGATCCTACACCATTTCAATCTTTCCTCAAAACCTCCAGTAACGGAGCAGCCACAACTTCTGAAGGCAAGCCCTTCCAGGGTTAGGGCCTAAGCCTAACCTTGGGAAGATTGAGCGCTCCGGGACCATAAGCCTGATAACTCCACTGCCAACCTCCGCAAAGCTTGGGCAGGGAGGATGGTTCAGTAGCAACATCCCAACGGATCCTACAAGCCAGTTTTGGGAGCAGGGCCTCACAGCCAGAGACCTGGGATCATCAGGAGAGATTCTGGATGACCACTGCCACCCAATAGCCTTGCCCCGAGGTCTCGGTTGGCGCCAAGCCTTAAATCCAAGTGGACACATCTCCGAGAGGTGGGGGGAGGGCATATAGTAGCTCTCAGCCTGGTTTGTGGTTTAGCATGGAGGAAATAGGCAACCTATTATGGTTTGCTCAAGGAATCAAGCCAACCATGGTTGAATGCAGTCTGTCAACTATCTCTCCAGTTCTCATGGAGATATCACAGGTTCATCTTGCCATGCTGACAAGATGCCAGTAGGCCAGCTAAGTCGCATTCTCACAATCTGATCTACAGAAAACTACACGTAGGCCTCAAATTGTGACTGTTCAAAGTTGCAACATACCTCCCCAGGGATATTTGTGACCCACTTCGGAGGTTCCGATGGCTGTCCCACCCCCGTGGTCACAACTGCATTTTGGGATGCTGGGCTACTGACCCATGTTTATGGCTATTTGTAGCGTCCGTGATCATGTTTACATTTTTTGCAGGAAACTTGACATTTATTCCGATTTCTGGTGGGGAAAAAAAGGCCATGGGCTAAAATGGGTTTGCTTAACGACTGCCACAAAACAGGTTGCAAAATCAGGCGTGGCCATTTTGTGATCCACTTAATGACAGGCATGACTTACAACCGTAATTCCAGTCTCAATTGCGGTTGTAAGCCGATCTCAGAATCCTGAGCCGGATTCCTTTCAGCCCCTAGACGCATCTAGCAATGTAAAATAATTTGGTCTTTTCGACTGGTTGAGGCTTTAAACCTTTTTGGCGTCGTTGATGGGTTTAATTTAATTTCTCCTGTTCAGCAGAACCAGCCAGCCACATTTAAACGAGCACGTTGGGCACACGCTGTTTAATTGTAGAACGCCAGAATGTTGGCACGGGGTACGCCCTTCCTTGTAAACATTGTCTCAAAGAAATCCGGGCACAGTCACAACTGAAACCTATGTGCCACTGCCAGAAATGGCTTGGCCCAGCAACGTAATGGGTCAGGATATCACCTGTTAAGTTTCAACACAGAGAAATGTAGGCATCTCTCTATTATTCAGCCTTCCCGTCTCGGTGTTTCTCAGCCGTGGCAGCTGGAAGATGGGTGGACTTCAGCTATGCTGGCTGGGGAATTCTGGGAGTTGAAGTCCACCCGTCTTCCAGCTGCCACGGTTGAGAAACACCGCTATTTGCTGCTTTCCAGATGTGCCAGGTTTTATTTGAGGAAGGCTGCTATAGCATCTTCCCAGAGAAGACCCCCTCCCCAAAAATCTCTCCACCCCCAGCCCCCAAATTCTTAACTTCTCAGGCAGCCAAAGCAAATGAGTAAAGGTGGGCGGGATCAACAAATTTAATCTGTAAATTAAGGAGTGGCGTTGGGGGCGATGGTTTTCAATTAAAACAGGCTATTTATATCGTATGTACAAAAAACAGAACCATATTTTTTTTTAAAAAAGGATAGTTTACACCTGTTTCCAACTTTCCTGCAGCCCTCGTTTTTTTTCCACCTTCATCTATGTAAATCGAAAGAGTCAAGCAAATTCATCCAGACCTTCAAAATTAAAAAAAAAAAGTGAGAACTACAAGGTTGAAGGTCCACAAATGCTCCGCAGAGTCTCCTTTGATGGCCAACTCTTGGCCGCTTGCAAGAGGGCGCCGGGACCCCCGTGCTCTGTGCCCCATTTGTTCCGGGCCGCTGGATGGAGGAGGGTCTGAGAGACCCAAGAAACCCACCCCCCCTCCAAATCAATCCGTTCCTGCCAGCATTGTGTTTTGGTACACCCACAGTGTGTCTCTCTCAATGGGATGATGATCAACGTGCTTCTTCTAGTCCCCCACTCAGCGGTAATCAAAGAAAGGGTCCAGCAGTGCCAAATTCATTCCTTTTCTTCCTTTCTTGTTCATAGCGCTAGAGTTCCCAGCACCAGTTTTCAATAGGCCACTGTTTCAGAGTCTCCTGGCGTGGAAAAAAGCACGTGGGCTTTGGCGTTGATGAAATAGGTGGCCACGAATGAGACAATGAGGATAACGAGGCCCACCACCAGGGTGATGATCTGCAGGGAATCAAAAGGGAGGGAGTCAGGCGTGGAAGGAAGGGATCCGAAAGAAGGGGAAATTACAGGTCACCCTCAACTTATAACCATTTATTTAGTGACCGAAGTTACGTCAGCACCAAAAAAAGTGACTTATGACCGGTTTTTACACTCGTGAACACAGCAGCATCCCCGTGGTCGCCTGATCAAAATTCCGATGCTTGGCAACTGGCATGTCTTCAGGACAGATCATGTGATCCCCTTTTGCGATCTTCCCACAAAAAAGGTCAATGGGGGAAGCCAGAGTCCCTTAACAATTGCATGATTCATTTAACAACTGCAGTAATTCACTTAACAGTGGCAAGAAAGGTCATAAAATGGTGCAAAACTCAGATAGATAGATAGATAGATAGATGGGTAGGTAGGTAGGTAGGTAGATAATATAGAGACTGATAGATAAAAAACAGATAATAGATGATATAGACCAGTGGTTCTCAACCTGTGGGTCGCGACCTCATTTGGGGTCGATTGACCATTTCACGGGGGTCGCCAAACAACGCGATCTGCCATTTTTTTTGTCAGCCGGCACAGGGGGCGCCGCCGCGCATGGGCGCTGCGCAGAGGGCCACACATGGGAACGCCGCCACGCATGCGCGCCGCACAGGGGCCGCCGCCACGCATGCGCGCTGCCTGCTTATGTCCGGGTCGCCATATAAAAAGGATGAGAACCACTGATATAGATAATAGATAGAAATTGATAATAGATGACAGCTCATGATTGACAGCTCATAGTTAATAGAGACTGATAGATGATATCGATAGATAATAAGAGACAATATTGATGGATGGATGGCAAAGGTTACACTTCAGCAGGCCAATCAACCCAGCCCCCTTTGACGCCTCACCTCCAGCTCTTTGCTGGCGACCAGGAAGATCCGTCCGTGAAGCTCCTTCCAGCGACTCTCCGTCCAGGTGGAAAACTCGGTGGACCCCCACTGTCGGAGCTCGAAGGCCGGGGAGGAGGCTGGCGTGCGGCGGACAGTCAACCTGATGCAGAAGGGCTTGCGGGGAGAGCTGGCGTTGGGGTACGGGGAGCCCTGAACCCACATGTAGTCATACAACTGCGGCAAAGAAAACCCAGGCGGGATAGAAGCAAAGCCCAGTTATTCATGGGCTGCTTTGAACATTAAAGCTTTAGCATCAAAGTTTGTGTAACGATTATGCTGATGTCTTGTTGTCGGTTCTTTTTTTTTTTACTTTTTTGTACCTCAGCTGTTGAATGGGTATGCTCTTTTTATAGCTATGTTTTTTTTTTTCTCTTTCCGTTGTTAGCCACCCAAAGTCATGAATCCGAGAGAGGCGGGCGTATAAACTGGATAAAGGAAATGGAGGAACGAAAGGCAAAACGAGGGATTGCCTTGATACGCTAGATAGGCAAAAATGGCTCTTTCCCAGACAGGCCCTGGAGGCCGGGCAGAGGGAGAGACCACTGTTTGCTGCGGGGTCAGCCTTCTTGACCCCAGGAGGCCTGCCCAGCTAGATCTTCACTTACAGCCACTTGCTCCGTGACCATTCAACGTTACGACCACCCTGGAAAAAGTGACACGTGGCCATTTTTTCACACTTACGACCGTCGCAGCCTCCCCAGGGTCACGTGATCAAAACTTGGATATCTTAAATAGATTATGTTTAATATGTTTGTATAATCCTGTACTTTGCTCTGGGAAGTGGGGCGGGAGGGGGGTGGGATGGGTCGAAGTTTAAGTAGTTCAGAGAAAGTAGAAATAGTTTTACTGTATATAATATTCATGTCTCAATTTGGAGAGAGGAATTGCTCGGGCATTTCCCCTGGACCGCATCTGGAGTGAGAAGTAAGTAGGAAGGTTGAGGAGAGGTGGAGAGTGAGGAAGAGGAAGAAGAGGGAAAGAGGCAAGTTGGTTGGGGGTGAAATGCAGTTTGGGGGGAAATGGGTGGGCAAGACCGAAAGTGGTGTGTATCAGTTTGTTTTATTTTTTATCTGAAGTATTTTTAAGATTGTAATGTATTGTAAAATTGAAAATAAATATATATATATATAAAAAAAACTTGGATGCTTTGCAACTGACTTGTATTTATGATGGCTGCCGCGTCCCGGGTCACATGATCCCCTTTTGCTGACAAGCCAGATTCACCCAAGGACCATGTTGCTGGCGACTGCAGCGATTCGCTTAACAGCCCTGGCAAGGAAGGTCGTAAAATGGGGCAAAGCCCACTTTCCAACGGTCTTACAGAAATCCCGGGCTCAACTGTGGTTGTGGGTCAAGGGCCACCTGTAGCACGCTGAGGTTTACTGGCTCTTATGCTCCACTTTTATGCCGGGAGACCTCTGTCAACTTCCAGTTAAAACCGCTGAACCGGCTGGGAATCCCCAGTGGATGCCAAATGTTAGGATCGGGGCTAGCTGGGCTCCCGGCTAGCCATACCCTCAGGGTCTGTCTGTCTCTGAGGCGGGCAAGCTGGGGACCAAGAGATCCTCAAAAGGTCACTGAATCCTGTGCAAACGTGCTGGGAGATTAACGGCCCCACCGGAGATCTCCTCCAGATGCCTTCAAAGCTCAGGGTGGGGGGGGGCACCTGGAGGGGGAAGAGGTGGGCAGCTTTCCCCAGGGTTTCGCCATTAGGTTTTCACCCCCCCCCAAGCCGGTTGTTCCCCAGAATTTTTTATCCAGTTTTTTAAAAACAAAAATGAAAAAAACAACAGTGCTTGACTATAGAGGACAAAAAGCTCACGTCTTCCTTGGAGGCTCTGCAGTGCTCCTTGGTGATGTTGTCCCCGAGGCGGGTCCCAGTCAGGTTGGCCAAGACATACTGGACCAGGCTGGTGGAGTTAACAGGACTGGAGACCGCGATGTAGTACTGGAGGGGCTCATCGCCTGGGAGGGGGCAGCAAAAAAAAGGGGGGGGGGTTTCAAAAGGAACCCTCTGGCAGCAGCCTTCACCCCTGAGGATCTCTCTCTCTCTTATTCTCTCTCTCTCATTCTTTTTCATTTTCTCTCATTCTTTCTCTTTCTCGCTTTTCTCTCTCTTATTCTCTCTCTCATTCTTTTTCATTTTCTCTCATTCTTTCTCTTTCTCACTTTTCTCTCTTATTCTCTCTCTCATTCTTTTTCATTTTCTCTCATTCTTTCTCGCTTTTCTCTCTCTCTCTCTTATTCTCTCTCTCTCTCATTTTTTCATTTTCTCTCATTCTTTCTCTTTCTCGCTTTTCTCTCTCTCATTCTTTTTCATTTTCTCTCATTCTTTCTCTTTCTCACTTTTCTCTCTTATTCTCTCTCTCATTCTTTTTCATTTTCTCTCATTCTTTCTCTTTCTCGCTTTTCTCTCTCTCTTATTCTCTCTCATTCTTTTTCATTTTCTCTCATTCTTTCTCTTTCTCTCTCTTATTCTCTCTCTCATTCTTTCATTTTCTCTCATTCTTTCTTTCTTGCTTTTCTCTCTCTTTCTCTCTTATTCTCTCTCTTTCTTTTTCATTTTCTCTCATTCTTTCTCTTTCTCGCTTTATTCTCTCTCTCTCTCTCTCTCTCTCTCTCTCTCTCTCTCTCTCTCTCATACACACACACACACACACACACACACACGCCTCACCCAGAGGCCCTTTGAAATCTGGCTTAGTGATGGCCTGGAACCAGGAGTTGTTGGACTGGATCAGGAAACCATACAACATGCGCGTGACCTGGAAGAAAAAGGTAAAACGACAAGCGAGAAAGGTTCAAAGAGCAGCACCTACTAAACTACTCGTACATTTTTCATTCCTGGTAAAACTTTTAGTATTAAAAGTATTAAGTTTATTTACTAAATTTAATGGCAAAAGCCATTTCCCCAGGATGCAATTTGGTCTCCTGCCTTGGGCAGGGGTGGACTAGAAGACCTCCAAGGCCCATTCCAGCTCTCAGATTCTATGTTCTACGACAGTGGTTCTCAACCCTTCTAATGCCGCGACCCCATAATACAGTTCCCCCTGTTGTGGTGACCCCCAATCACTTATACATCACTGGGTGCCAGGGGCGTGGCCAAAGAAAAGGGGGGGGGGAAATGGCGGACAGCCTTGTTTGGTGACCCCTGTGAAATGATCGTTCGACCCCAAATGGGGTCCCGACCCACAGGTTGAGAACCACTGTTCTACGAGATGCTGCTACATTAACTGGCCGTCTGCTTCCCGATGAGATGGGGAAAGGTACTCGGTGTCCCCCAACACCTGTGGATTAGGTAACTGCCTCCCCTGGCTTTCGGAGAGGATGGGAGCCTTGGATCAGAGATGGCCAATGGCCCCTGGTGGCCCAGAGGAGGGTTTGAAAAGAGGGCGCGGAACGCCCTTTTCATAGAGGCCCCCCGTGGACTTGGTGTGACCTTCCCTTCTGAGAGAAGGTTGTTGAGTCAGCTCCCTGAATGACCAGTCCATATTATTCCCTTGTTATACAGTGGATATTTAACGTTATATATTTTGTAATTGTTTTTGTGCATCTCAGTAATTGCTCAATTGCAATAGAGTAAATTAATAATCAGATTACTAGATCTCTCAAGAGAAGGGGAGAAAGTCCCATGATTGGTGGGCTTAACATAAAGTGAGGGAAGGAGGCAAACAGGAATCCCAGAAAGCAGGATGGGGGGGGGGGGAGAAAGCAGGAATTCCACCCGGCACCAGGCTCCTTCTCCAGACTGGTTGAGTGAATTATATGTTGGGCCTAATTCAGAAGCATCTCATGTAAAGCAGTTGGGAAAGAGCATTTTGCCAGCCAAAAGATCTGGGATTCTTGCATGCTTTTCTCTTTCTTCTCCTTCCTTCCTTCCTTCCTTCCTTCCTTCCTTCCTTCCTTCCTTCCTTCCTTCCTTCTTTCCTTCCCTCTCCCTCGCTTCCTCCCTTCCTCTCTTCTTTCTTTCTTTCTTTCTTTTCTTTCTTTCCTTCCTTCCCTCTCCCTCCATCTCTTTTTCTTTTTCTTTCTTTCTTTCTTTCTTTCTTTCTTTCTTTCTTTCTTTCTTTCTTTCTTTCTTTCTTTCCTTCCTTCCTTCCTTCCTTCCTTCCTTCCCATTCTTTCCTTCTCCTTCCTTCCTTTCCTTCCTTGTTCTTATTTTCTTCCTTTCTCTTCCTCTCCTTTTCCTTCCTCTTTCTCCTTCTCCTTTCCCCTCCCCCCCTTTCTTTCCTTACCACCCTTACTATTTCTACAAAAAACTCAAGGTGGTGAACATCTCTCAGGCACCTTCCTATTTTCCCTAGAACAACAGCCACCACCCTGTGGGCTGTGCCGGGATGAGAGAATGGGCTGGCCCCAACCCTCCAGAGAACCCCTCAGCACCGACCGTTAATGGATCCGCCTGAATTGACGAGGCGTTGCCCCCTCCTCCGGCCATCTTGTAGAGCGTGCGGCCCACCACGGTGGCTACTGCAGCTAAGGACTGGGAGAAAGGAAAGAGGATCAAGGCAACCCAGCCAGACAGACAATCCAAGTTTGTCCCCCCCCACCCCGATCCTGCCCCCCCCGAGAGGCGGGCCCAGCCCACCTTAGCTGTGTCCGTCACGTGATTCAGGGCCTCCTCTGGGGTCAGCCCGGAATAATTCAGCCGGATGTTCTCGGGGGTGTCATAGATGCTCTGGTAGTACCTGTGGGAGGGAAGGAGACGATGCGATGGTCTGGGGGGGGGGGCAGGGAGAGGAGGAGGGGTCCTTGAGGGAGCAGGTGTCAGGGGAGGGGTCCCTTGGGACTGGGAATGAGGGGGGATGAATTTGGGCTTGGCCAGAAACCCAGCCCCCTCCCAGCCTTTCCTCAAAGCGATGAAGGAGGGCTCGTCACCTTCCTTTATTCGTGGCAGAAGCGTCATTAAAATTTTAATTATTGTAATGAACTTGGCTCTTTGGTGGCTTTGCCTGTTTGATGAGCTGAGGCTTTTTATTAGAAAGCAATGGGGAGGGGGAGAGACCTTTGCAAATGACGTCCCCAAATCCGGAAGGGAGGCCATTTGCACATCCCAGTCAGCGTTTTTCAACCTTGGCGACTTTAAGATGCCTGGACCTCAACTCCCAGAATCCCCCAGCATGCCGCTCTGACTGGGGAACTCTGGGAGCTGAGGTCCACACATCTTAAAATCGTCAAGGCTGAAAAATATTGCCGTGGACATACAGGTAGTCCTCGACTTAGGACCACAACTGAGCCCAAAAGTTCTGTTGCTAAACGAGACAGTTGTTAAGTGAGTCACTGCAGTTATCAAGTTAGCGACGCAGTTGCTCAGTGAATCCGGCTTCCCCATTGGCTCTGCATGGCAGAAGGTCGCAGAAGGGGATCACGCAACCCCCGGGACGCTGCAACGGTCGTTAACAATGAGCCAGTGGCCAAGCGTCTGAATTTTGATCATGTGACCCTGGGGAGGCTGCAATGGTCGTTAAATGTGAAAAGGGGTCATAAGTCACTCTTTTCAGTGGCCTTGTAACACTAGACCAGTGCTTCTCAACGTTTGTGTGACGGCGACCCCCGTCACACAAACGTGCCGCGCATGCGCGGCGCCGCCCCGAGGTGGAAAAATGGCGGATCGCCTTGTTTGGCGTCCCCCGAGAAATGGTCGATCGACCCCAAATGGGGTCGCGACCCATAGGTTGAGAACCGCTGCACTAGACGGTCACTAAGTGAGCTGTTATAGGTTGAAGGTTGCCTGTATGCAGCGGCTGCAACATCTGGATTTCCCCTGGCTCTGTCTCTCTCTCTCTCTCTCTCTCTCTCTCTCACACACACACCCTTCTCTTCTTCCCCCGTCTGCTTTGTTTCCAAGCGGTCCTGGAGGAGCAGATGTTGCCTTCTGGATGCTCGGCTGCTGCTCGCTCAGCCCCGGCCGCCAGCCAGATGCTGGAAACGTTGGCCAGGCCAAAGTGGGTTTTCTCCTGGTTGTCAGAACAATTACAACGCGCCTCTTTAATTACACGGCGCACGTCTGTCCTCCCTCCACCTGCCCCCCCGCAACCAGCGACTGCTACGCTCTTTCCTGCACATACACACACACACACACACACACACAAACCCCGGCTTCTGCTCAGCTCCTGGGCTCAGGTCAAAGGGGGTCTGGGCTTCCTCCCTTCATCAAGTAGCTGAAAAAAGCGACTTAGGACCATTTTTCACACTTACAACCGTTTGCAGCAGCTCCCTGGTCACGTGATCCAAATTCAGATGCTGGGCAACTGGCATGTACTTATGACGGTTGCAGTGTCCCTGGGGGGGGGGTGTCACGTGATCCCCTTTGGCGACCTTCTGGCAAGCCAAGTCAAGGGGAAGCCGGATTCTCTTTACAACCGTGTTACTAACTTATCAACTGCGCCGATTCACTTAATAACGGAGGCGAGAAAGGTGGCCATCTGGGGTAAAACCCAGCTGTAGAGCAGGGCTCGTCAAACGTGGCGACTTCGACTTCCGGAGTGTCTCAGCCGGCCACCAGGCTTAAAGTTGCCAAGTCTGCTGAAGAGGGTCCCTCCTTACCTGTTCTCGAAGTGGGAATGGTGGTCAGCCAGGACCACCCCGGGGATCTGCTGGACCCTCAGGAATCTCTGGAAGGAGGAAGGCGGGAGCGGCTGGCTGACTCCGATTCCACTCATCACCACGCTGGTCTTTTCGCTGCTCTTGTTCAAGGTTTCCATCATCCTTTGGACGTTTTGCTAAGGCAGGAGGAGACCGAGAGGAAAGACAAGTAGCTCAATTATGCAACAAACTTGCCGGAGTGCAGAGGAAGTTTTACTTGCAAAGGAAGGCAAACATACGTGTCCCGGGATCCAATCTGAGTCGGCGCACGCATTCAGTTTCACAGGTACTAAGTTTGTGGGTCAAGCAGGTACAAAAATAGCCCTAAAAATGATTGAAGCCCGGGAAATGGACCCCTTGGCAGTCAATAGGAGTGCTGATTTACTACCAGTTTATGAGGCACGTATTAATGACTTCCTAGCCGGCCATCAACACCCCGATTAACACCCAAAAACTACACACAACCAGGCCCCATATAAACACAACGTGCCCATATTCTGGAGAGACAGAGAGAAGTTCTCTGGGGAGGGCCCAAGTGCAAGCCTGGAAGGGCAAACCTTTGGTCCCTGGGACTGACTCAGACTGGATCGTGACATTTTCCTTGCTGTAGGGAAAAAAAACACCCCTTAGCGGCCTTAGCCCATCCTCTGGGACACTTTACAGATGCTTTAAGGCAGTGTTTCTCAACCTTGACCATTTTAAGGCATGTGGACTTCAACTCCCAGAATTCCACAGCCAGCAATGCTGGCTGTGGAATTCTGGGAGTTGAAGTCCACATGCCTTAAAATTGTCAAGGTTGAGAAACACTGCTTTAAGGCTTTCGTGGCCACCAAAATGGGCACGCTGACGGCATCGTGCCGAGACAGGGTGCGGCCCACCCAGAGTGGCGCTTAGCACCGCAGAGAGCAGCTCCCAGGTGAGAGTTCTCCAGGGGCAGGAAAGCCCCCCGGCATTCAGAAGAGAAGATGGCGGGCAGGCAGAAGTCGAATGGCCGCGTCTCCTCAGGGTTCCTTTCGACTAACGAGGAGGCCCAAGGAAGGCTTCCCAAGGCCTCTCGGAGCCTCCGGGGACTGAGAAACCAGGAGGGGGCCTTTGATGGCTCTTGCCAGGGAGTAGGGATGCAGCCCCGGTCAAGGAAGCCCAAGGCCTGGCTGGAAGCTGCTGGTGAGGAGCATCGGCTGGACCTGACCAGGAGCAGAAAGGCTTTGGCTTCTGGACGCCCAAGAGCAGTGGTTCTCAACCTTTTTAATGCCGCGACCCCCAACCGGTCGTAAGTCGAGGACTACTCAACCGGTCATAAGTCGAGGACTACTCAACTGGTGCAGCACCATTTGCAGACTGGGACTTTTGGTGGGCTCAGCAGGGCAGAGACAGCCTGGACAATTCCTATTGGCTTTGGAAAGCCAATAGAATTAGACTCTATTCAAGAGAGTCTATTCTACTGGCTTTCAAAAGCCAATAGAATAACGGAGTAGCACAGCTAAGGAAAAGGGGAAAAAAATGGCGGACTGCGTTGTTTGGCGACCCCCGTGAAATGGTCATTCGACCCCAAATGGGGTCCCGACCCACAGGTGGAGAACCACTGCCCAAGAGGAAGGTTGCGGGTTCTGGGCGAGGGAGCTCGAGATGGGGGGGAGGGGGAGGAGGACTCTGGGCTCCTTGGAGCTCTCTCAGGTTGGTTGTTTCCTTGCAGACGTTTCATAGCCCAACTATGTAACATTATCAGTGCTAGAAGGGCTTGTGGAGGAAGGAAGGAAGGAAGGAAGGAAGGGAGGAAGAGGAAAAGGAGGACTCTGAGCTTGGCGGGTTTTTTGCAGGCATTTCAGTGCCCAACTAAATAACATCGCCAGTGCCGGAAGGGAGGGAGAGGGGGATCTGTGGAGTGGAGGAGGAGATGCGGATCCCTCAGGTGAGGGACACCTGGCAAAAAAAGAAGGCCGGCATCTGTCAACATGTCCACAGTGACGTGAGGGACAGACCGGACCATGTGGCGTTCAGCAGAGAAGCCAGGGACATCAGAGCAGAAGCTGGCCGTGCTGGATCAGACCCCTGGCCCACCTAGCCCAGCCATCTGTTCTTGCCGTGGCCAACCAACTGTCCGAGGAAGCCCGCGAGTCTCCCAGCAGATGGCCGTCAGAGGCCGTCCCGCTGCAGTCGAGGCCAAGAGCCATGGATCCATACGGGCCGGTTGGAAGCCAACTGCGGCATCTTTCTTGTGAGCAGGGAAGGAAGGAACCGGCAGCCAGGCAAACGGCCCTACCTCAATCTCGGGGTCCATTCGAGAGATGGGGTCCGTGTGCATCCACAGGGAGGCGTTACTCCGGAGCGCAACCTGCAACAGATGGAGCGCCGTCGGCACATGTACAAGGTTGCCCGGGGTTTTCTCCAACGGAGCCTCCCACAGGCAGCCAAAGCAGAACCAGGGACAGGTTGGAGTCCTCACTGAGGGAAGGCAACTTAGCCATTGCCAAGTCAGTCAGTCAGTCAGTCAGTCAGTCAGTCAGTCAGTCAGTCAGTCAGTCAGTCAGTCAGTCTCTCTCTCTCTCTCTCTCTCTCTCTCTCTCTCTCACACACACACACACACACACACGGCTATTTGGGCCGAATGGGCACAGGAAGGACCAAAGATGAACCAACAATGTACTTTCCCCCCCCCCTTTATCCTGGAACCTCAAGACCACCAACGAAAAATCTCAAAAATCTCAGAGCCAGGAAACTGATCTGAAATTCAGAATTAAGTGAAAGTTCACTCTGTTGGTGCAAGGAAAACACATTTGGTTGAAAGTTCTTTTGTTTCATCCGGAGTGTTCTTTTCTGGTAGGTAACGTTGGAATCAGAAACCCCAGATAATCTCCTGTGAATTACCTCAGGACAGAGCCAAATACAGATGCTGGCTAAATGACATCTAATTTCCTGTCTTTTTTCCATCCTTGTGAGGTGGATTGGGTTGAGAGACAGCGATTGCCCCAAAGTCATGCAGGGAGCTTTCAATCAATCAATCAATCAATCAATCAATCAATCAATCAGAATAGAGCTGGAAGGGACTTGGGGGGGGGTCTTCAAATACAACTCTTGCTCAGGCAGGAGACCCTATATCATTTCAGACAAGTGACTGTCTAGTTTCTTCTTAAAAACCTCCAGTGATGGAGATCCACAACGTCTGAAGGCAACTTCTGTTCCACTGGTTAATTGTCCTCCCTGTTAGGAAGTTTCTCCTTAGTTCCAGGTTGCTTCTCTCTTTGGTCAGTTTCCATCTGTTGCTTCTTGTCCTGCCCTCTGGTGCTTTGGAGAATAGTTTGACCCCCTTTTCTTTCTGGAAGCCCCCCAATTACCGGAATACTGCTATATCATGTCCCCCCTAGTCCTTCTTTTCTCTAGACTGGCCAGACCCAAATCCTGCAGCCGTTCTTCATACGTTTTTGTCTTTAATGTCTAAGGCTGGACTAGAACTCCCAAGTCTCCTGGTGATTGGCCCAAAATCACCCAGCTGGCTTTCATGACTAAGGCAGAACTAAAACTCCCAATTTCCTGCTTTCTAGGCCAGCACCTTCGCCATGAAAGAGCAAAACCTCGCAGGAGCCCTTAAATTTGCAAACGGGAGAGCCACGGATGCTCAAGTTTAAGACGCTGCCCTTTGCAAGAAAGACATTCTGCGCTACATTCTCTGATGCTTCTGCCCAAAAGCCTTTGGATCGGGTCCTGTAATTCCCATCCACCTTTAAGTAACCGAGAAGCAGCAAATTAAAACCACAGGTCCGTCCTCCATCCGTGGAACTGCAGCTCAGCACGTTTAAGTCTGAAACAGCAATCTCAGTTGCGGAAACATCTTTTTGCAACTCATCTGGGCGTTCTCACGTTTCACAGACCCAACTCGCTTTGTTAACTCGCTTCTAACCCGAGTTTCCAAAATGTGGAAACTAGACCAGGAGCCAATATCCCAAAAGCAGTCAGCTAAAACTGCAGAGCAGTCTCTTCTCACCTGGCTCAGCTCCAGGAAGGAATCGATGTTCTCCAGCTTGATGGGAAACCGGTCGTTCTGCATGTCGTACACCATGCGGGAGCTGCCGATGTAGTCAAAGGTCTCCTGAGGAGGGAAGGGAAATCCAGAAGGGTTTGTCCTCCAAAAAGGGACAGAGGAATCCAGCTACATCTGCAACCTCTACTTATTTCCATCCCGGCTTTATTATTTTTGCAGATTAAGATGGCGAACGTATCCAACACACCTTCCTCCTCTTTTCCCCCGCAACAACCGCCCTGCGAGGTGGGTTGGGCTGGGAAACAGAAGTCAGGCAGCTGGCCAGGATTTCTACTGCTAAGCAAGGGGGCCGTTAAGTGAGTCACGCCCATCTGGTTTATGGCTTCTGCTTTCACAGTCACAACTGCACAATGCCAAGTTTTGCGGGCCTCTCAGGAAAGGCACCAGGCCAATGCCCCCACACGGTGGTGGAGGAAACAACGGGAAGTCATTTCACAGCAGCGCAAAAGCTCCAGTAAAGTTGACAACGCTGCTCGAACTCGGCTCTCCCACCCACCCACCCACCCACCCACTCACTCAACTCATGCCTGGAGGGGAAGATCAGCTGCTAACCATCACCCCCCACCCCTCCCTCCCTCCCTCCCTTTTTCAAATATCCTCTTGGCTTTTGGCAGCTGCCGTTGCTCCAAATTAACTGCTTTTTTGCTTCAGTGTGCACATATATTTTTAATCCGCTCCATGTGACTTTGTGTTTGGAGACGGGGTGCCTGCGAGTGTGCCGGTCGCGGGGGACGGGCGGTGGCAAAGGGCCTTTTCCTGCCCCGTGGGGACGCCGTGCTGCCCACAGCTGCTGCCCACGGGCTGCAGTGGGGACTGGAGGGCACCAAGTTGGAGAAGAGGCTTTCGGATCGCCCGCCTGCTGCTCTCCAGAGTGCTCCTTTTCCCCAGAACGTGTCGCTTTTCCTCGCAGTTCAGTCCTGCTTGCAGATTATACAGTGCAGTAAAACGAAGAAAACACGGGAGGTCCCTGACTTACAACCATTCATTTAGTGACCATTCAAAGTTACAACAGCACTGAAAAAAGTGACTCATGAACCGTGTTTCACGCTGGTTGCGGCATCCCCCGGGTCGCGTGATCAAAATTCAGACACTTAGCAACCGACTCGTAATAATGACGGTCGCAGAGTCCCGGGGTCAAGTGATCCCCTTTTGCGACCTTCTGAGAAGCAAATCCAATGGGGGAAGCCAGGTTCACTTAACAAGTGTGTTGTTAACAATTGAAGGGATTCACACAACAACTGTAATAAGAAAGATCATAAACTGGGGCAAAACTCACTTAACCGTCTTGCTTAGCAACGGAAATTTTGAGCTCAGCTGTGGCTGTAACCCAAGGACTACCTGTGTCCATTTCTCCCCCCCCCCCCGGGTTAGCAGGCAGAATAAACCCTCAAATCTTCCTTTCCACAGAGATCTTTCTCTCGGAGTCTGCCCTGGTTTGTTAGAGCATCCTTCAGCCTGAATGCTCTCAGTGCGCTGAACTTCAATTTCCCAGAATACCTTGGGCCTGGCCTGCAGCTGCTGAGAATTCTGGGAAGCGAAGTTGGGTATTTCAGAAGGAGATTTGTTTCAGGAAATCCATGATGCACCTTTATGTTATTTCCTGACACTTGTTTACGAGATGTTACACAAGCAAATGTGTGAATGTAGGTTGAAATCGCTTTAAGGGAATGTTTCTCAACCCGAGCAACTTTAAGATGGCTGGACTTCAACTCCCAGAATTCCCCAGCCAGCCATGCTCTGAAGTCCGCCCATCTTAAAGTTGCTCGGGTTGAGAAACACAGCTCTAAATACACGGATTTTTTTTTGGAATCCAGCAGTGTGAATCGCTTTTCAACCGTGGCAATTTAAAGATGGGTGGATTTCAACTCCATGCTAATATTGCTAGTGTCTTGGCAAGATCTGTTTAATTTGTATATATTTTAACCTTGCGTTTTATATTTTAAATTTTATGCCATATAGCATGCCTTATTTGAATTGTGATGCTTCTGACACAAATAAACAAATCCCTGTGCTGCCTGGGAAATTCTGGGAGTTGAAGCCCACCCACCTTTAAATTGCTCAAGTTGAGAAACGCTGCTCCAAACATTCAGATTTGTTCCTGACCCTGGCAGTAGAGCCGTTTCTCAACCTCCTCGACAACCTGAAGACGGGTGGACTTCAACTCCCATGCTGCCTGGGGACCTCTGGGGGTTTAGGTCCACCCATCTTCAAGTTGCCCAGGTTGAGAAACACTGTTTTAAACCATCTCCCCAAAAATCCTGTGAGCTTTTCCTACCTAAATGCTCCCAAACCTTCTCACCCATCCCTGGCTAATTCCCCAGTGGAGCTGGGATTAGCAGCATCTGTCTCTTTCTCTCTGTCTCTCTGTTTTATTCATTTCCCAGGGGAAACTGCATCCTTGTTGGGAGCGATATTTCCTAGCTGAGAACAACAAAGCCCTCCATGCAAATTGGATTCCCAAGTCAGCTTTCTCTGCTGCAAGCACCACGGAAATTGGTTTCCAACACGATGTGCAACGGCTGATGGTCGCTCCGCAAGATTTCAGAAAAGTGGGACCTTCCAAGTCCAGCCACAGGTTCTAGGGACCGAATTGTTTTTCTATGCTGTGTCTTTTACAATTGATGATTTTAATGTTTCTTTAATGTTTTAATGAGAAGTGCCACAAAGATGATTAGGGGGCTAGAGGCTAAAAATATATGAAAATGGTTGCAAGAATTGAGTAATCTAAGGAAAAGAAAGACGAGGGGTGACACAATAGCTGTCTTCCAATATTTGAGGGGCTGCCACAAAGTGGAGGGGGACACATTATTCACCAGAGCACCAGAGGGCAGGACAAGAAACAATGGTTGGAAACTGATCAAGGAGAGAAGCAACTTGGAATTAAGGAGAAATTTCCTAAGAGTGAGGACAATTAAACAGAGGAACTGCTTGCCTCCAGAGGTTGTGGGTGCTTCATTAGAGACTGGACAGTGATTTGTCTGAAACGGTATAGGATCTCCTGCTTGAGCAGGGGGCTGGACTAGAAGATTTCCAAAGTCCATCTCTACTACTGTCATTCTGTTTTATTTTGTAAGCTGCCCAGAGTTGTTGAATACAAGCTAGGCAGCAAATCAATTTCACAAATAAACAAACAAATAAATAAATCAGAGATCTGTTTCAAGCTGCAGAGACCAGAAAAAAAAAAGAAAACAGCGAGAACTTACCCCCTGGAAGAAGACAAACATGATGTTTTTGGGCAGCGACTGAACATCGGGGATTTTATGGACGGCTTCAGCTGCAGCGAGGAGGGTGACAAAGGAAGCCACGGCACTCTCCGCCCCGGGGGCCACGTTCCAGAAAAAAGAGTGGCTGTCAATCTGCCAGAAAGAAGAGCAAAGAATACGGTCCGGCCAGTTCGGAGACTCTGCCAGAGTTTCTCTCCCCAAAGTCAGCCTGTCAGTTTCCGTGCTTGGCTCAAAGCGCCGGCTTTTATGCCCAGATGGCAGCCGTTCAGCCCCACGTCTAATTTTCATTCACTTGCTAAAAGTACATGGTCAAAACCCACCCAGCATGTTATAAATTTTGGACTCATTTCGCAAGCGGGGAAAGCTTCAGTTAGTGGGGAGGTAATCTGTGTCTTTGTTTTTCGTCCTTTAAACTCACATTTTTATAATGTGCTTATCTAGTTTTGTTTTATCTTTGCAATTTTTTTCCCCACTCTGCATTTTGTATTTTAATTTTCTGAATATAATAAAAATTAAAAATTTATCCAGCATGTCGATACAAGCTCATGCAGATTTTTAGGAACGGCAGCTGGTGCCTGTAGAGAGAATGACCCCTGCACTGAGGCTTCAATTGAGAGTCCCCAGAAGGCCTCGACCAGAGGGAGCACTTCCCCTAGGCAGCCCCAGCTGCCCCTCCCTCCTGCTCCCCTCATCAAGGAAGGCCTGGGGGGAAATGCCCCCCCCCCAGTGGGGCCTTTTTGATCTCCTCCTCTTTACTTATATGGGGACCGGAGGATAAAACATACAAAAAATAAAGGTGGGATATAAATAATAAGTAAAAAGAACAACATTTAAACTGAATTCCTCCAGCCCAGCCCAGCCCAGCCCCACCTACTCGAGAGGAAGCGATGACGACACTTTTAGGATCCAGCTTCTCCGAATCGTTGAGCGGCCGCACCGTGCTCCAGACGTTATAATCGGCGAGAGGATCGCAGACCACCTCTGAAAGGAGAGAAGCAGCGACCGTGACCCCACGGCCCATTTCGCGACCCCGGGAAGCGCCACCCACCCACCCACCCACCCCTGCCCCACACAGCAGCAGCCACCATGGACTCGCGGGGCTCCGCTTTAGCCCTTCGGCCAGGTTTTTGCCAAACAGAAAGGCGATCCGGAAAGGCTGAAAACAGCCAGATCCAGCTTGTTCCCAAAGAACCGAAAATCATGGCAAACGTGGTAGAGGGAATCCTTGGCATGCAGCCACAGTCGAGACTGGAACCTCTGTCACTAAATGATGCAGTCCTTAGGTGAGTCGTGCCTGGTTTTAAGTGAATCATGCGGTGATTGCGTAAACTCGGCCTCCCCCATTGAGTTTGCTTGTTGGAAGCTCCAACAGAACAGAACAGAAAGAATAACAATGTTGGAAGGGACCTCGTTGGTCATCTAGTCCAGTGGTTCTTAACCTTTTTGAACGAATCGCCCCCTTGAGCCAATGAGGAAGTTGTCATCGCCCCCCTCCCCCAACATAACCTCTCAATCACAACATGGGAAAGAATTCTTCAATTTATGCAAACCATTTTTTTTGTTTTCTTTAAAATTGTTCATCAGGACATATCGATGCAAATAATTTATTTCCAGTCTTTTTCCCATATCTCCCATATTCTGGCTAATGGCGTGCCACTGTATGGGTAGAGGCTGCTGTGCAACACGCATGAAGATAAGCAATGCGTATTCACATATGTACGGCGTTCTGTACTGAAGGAACATTTGAAAACACAATTCAATCCACTAATAGCGAGCGATCTGATGTTTTTCTACGACAGATAGACAGCCATTCACTGTACGAAAAAGTCTCAAAAGTGTCCCCAAAACCTCTCGCTCCATCGCCTCCATATTGCCCCCTTTTCATTCCTTCACCCGTGCGTTGCCCCGTTTCGTTCCATTGCCCCCCTGAAAAATGAAATCACCCCCTGGGGGGCAATATCGCCCAGGTTAAGAACCACTGCTCTAGTCCAACCCCCTGCTCAAGCAGGAAACCCTATGCCATTCCAGACAAATGGCTGCCCAGTTGCTTCTTAAAAGCCTCCAGTCACGGAGCACACACAACTTCTGAACAACCCAACAACTTTGAACTTCAGTAACCTTGAATGACTTTTTTTAAGTGATCAATTGCAAGAGAAGGCCCCCTGTGCAACAGAGAAGGCAGTGTGTCCCCCCTCCCCGCCCGAGCACGGGGGTCTTCTAAGAAAGAATGTCTTGACTCAGGAAAGTCCCAGGTCTTTGGTTCGACTTTCAGAGTCCCTCCACATCTTGCCTGGAATTACAATTGAATGTAACAGAAGAGAGACCTTACTAAAACTACGGGTCACAACCATATAATCCCGGACTGGTTATCAAACAACGCTAAAGCCTGTTTTTGCCTGAGCCTCCCCGCTTTATGCAGCCCATCCTCAGCATGTCTGGGCAGCCCTTGGCGCGAGGCAGGCTGGGCATCCTTTGCCCTTTGTTTGAGGCCCGGCCCACCTCCACCCTTCCGGCCTCACCTGGGTTGAGACTGAAGGTGCTCTGAATGATACTGCGGCGCATGCAGGTGACGGTGCTGGTGACAGCGTGCATGTGGGAGGACAGCTGCATGGCGCAGAGCGGGTATTCCGGCCCGGAGCCGTTCTGAGGCGTGTTGTATGTCTGGTAGCACTGAGAACCAAGGAGGGAGAGTCGGGGGTTTTAGAAAGAGGCAGGTCTAGCTACTTCGAGGCCATCCAGGATCAAAGCTAGTGCAGGTAGTCCTTGACTTACGACCACAGCTGAGCCTCAAATTTCTGTTGCTAAGCGAGACGGTTAAGTGACTTTTGGCCCATTTTACGACCTTTCTTGCCAACGTTAAGTGAACCATTGCAGTGGTTAAGCCAGTGGTTCTCAACCTGTGGGTCGGGACCATTTCACGGGGGTCGCCAAACAACGCAGTCCGCCATTTTTCCCCCCTTTTCTTTAGCTGTGCTGCTCCCTTTTATTCTATTGGCTTTTGAAAGCCATTAGAATAGACTCTCTTGAATAGAGTCTAATTCTATTGGCTTTCCAAAGCCAATAGGAATTGTCCAGGCTGTCTCTGCCCTGCTGAGCCCGCCAAAACTCCCATTCTGCAAACGGTGCTGCACCAGTTGAGTAGTCCTCGACTTACGACCGGTTGAGTAGTCCTCGACTTACAACCGGTTAGGGGTCGCGGCATTAAAAAGGTTGAGAACCACTGGGTTAAGCGAATCGGGCTCCCCCCCCTTGACTTCGCTTGCCCGAAGGTTGCAAAAGGGGATCACGTGACCCTGGGACATTGCGACCGTCGTAAATATGAGCCGGTTGCCAAGCCTCTGAATTTTGATCGTGTGACCAAGGGGACGCTGCAACGGTACTGTGAAAAACAGTCCTAAGTCACTTTTTTCGGGGCCATTGTAACATCAGTCACTAAACGAACTGCTGTACTAACTTTGATATTTAATTGCGTGCTTTAAAATATTCTCTCGCCCATCCTGCCGCAGGGAAGTACGGCAGAGTTCCCACGCAATACACACCTGCTTGATAACCTTGGTTTCGGTTTCGTTTTGAAGAAGGAAGATGGGGAAGCCAAAGTCCAGGTAGGAGAGGCTGTTCCCCAGATAATTCCACTTGGTCACACTGCAGTGGGCGTATTCTGGGCCATAGCTGCTGTTGTAGACGCCTGAAGGAAGGAGAGGAAAGGCAGTTGAGGAATCCGTGTGTCAGTCGCCTGAAAAGCTTTTAGGACAAGGAGTCACGCCTGCTCCCAGACGTGGGAACCGTGGCCTGGCTCTGAGCTATGAAGGTTGTCGAAAATGCTTCTCCACATTTGACTCAGAAATTAAATCAAGTCATGGGGAGGGCCAGAAAAATGAATTAAAGTCAGGGGCTGTGAAGAGAAATAGGAATGAGCAGAAATAGGAGTGAAAAGGGAGTAGGAAAACTGGAAAATGTTTGTGCAGGAATCAAAGCAGAGGAAATAGTCGAAAGAAATATGCTAGTGACACACACAACTACAGGGAATATGTGGAAGGCAGCAGAACCCTGAACAAAGCGAGGCTACGGTTATATACCTTGAGTCTGTTGCACAGGAAGGCTAAAGGCCTGCTCTCCACCCATTTTCTTCAGTTTTAGTTTTGTGTCTTGTACAATGTTAAACTTTTAAATATTAATAACGTTAACTTGTATATATTGTTTCTGACTGTTGTACACTGTCCAGTCCCTTGATTGTGAGATGGACAGCCATATAAATAGAGGAAGGAAGGAAGGGAAGGAGGGAGGGAGGGAGGGAGGGAGGGAGGAAAAGGGAGAAGGGAGGGAGGGAAGGAGAAAGTGGGAGGGAAGGAAGAAAGAAGAGAGAGAAGGAAGGGGAGGAGAGAGAGAAAAATACTGTAAACCAGACTATGAGTTCCAGAGCTGGAATACTTTCCTGCGGTGCCCTTACATTCCTCCAAATTAGTGTGTCTTGCGATACCAACATCACGTGCCTTAAACAATGGCACTGATTGTGACCATATCCTGGGGCCTTTCACAGCAGACAAAAAACAACAGTCTGCTTGTTGTTATCTCTCTCCTGTCCAGGATCACACTTCCAGCTGCCTGACACATCCAGAAGCATCTCCCAGGATCTTAAATCCCCACGGTACACTCAGCCACGGGCATCGAGTTACATGAGGAGAGGAACCGTCGCCCTTTTTTAAAAAAAAGACAGTTACGGATCTGGGAAACTTCTCCAGGAAGAGGAAGCAAGTAACTGAAGCCCATTTTTCTGTGTGGGGGGCTCTGGGGGTTTCCCCCCATTTTTCCTTGCAACTGTTTGTATTCTGCAAAGGTTCTGCTTTTTTCTTTAAGTTTTCTTTAACAACTGCAGACTTCGAAGTGGGCCAAGAGCTCAGATGTAAAGTAAATGCCCGAGACTCTTGTTACTGCTATCTTTGATTAATAAAAAGTTTAGAGCTGGGGAAAAAAAAAGATTCCTCTTAGCAGTGACAGACTTTTTCAGCCCAAATCTCTGCCAGATGATGAAGAGAGTGACCTCTCTCTCTTTTTCAACTTAAGAATATATAATACAAGTGAAAATAGCACGGAAGTGGTGGAAAAAAGGAGGGAGAAAGAAAAAATGATGGGTAATAAAGCGTCGACTTCCAATCTTTTTTCGGCGCAATAAAGTACAAAGTAGAATTACAACTTTTTACTGTATCAGCTTAACAACAACCAGCCCTCTCTATAACAACAAACTGACAGCAAAACCTAAAAACAAAATTACATTTTTTTCTATCTGGAGCAAAAGCCCAGAAGCAGTTTCCAGATAGAAATAAAACTGGGCATGTGCTTTTCTCTACTTCAGGGGTATCCCACCGTGGCCATTTTAAGATCTGTGGACTTCATTTCCCAGAATTCCCCTGTGGAATTCTGGCAGCTGAAGTCCACTTCAAGAAAATGATTCTCTCTTCAGGGACCCAAAATGTTTCGCTCTTGTTGAGTTGGATCAGAAATCAGCCAGCACGGAGGCCACCAAGGGCTGAAGAGACGAGAGACCCCTAAAGAGACCACGTTTGCTTCATTCTCACCGTAACCATCATTGGGACACGGAAGACCGGGAGAAAAACCTTCTGCCGGGCTGGCCTTGGAGATGGCCACGGCCACGCCTGCAATCCGAGAGCTGCCCTTCAGCTGCTCCATCACCTGTCTGTTAAAAGAACCACATGGTGAAAAATGTAACTGTAAGGTGTTATTTATCGGCTGCGAGATCACCAAGGGGATGAAATAGAGCAATACAGTGTCGTTTTCCACAGACATGGAATAAATCAAAGGTTTCTGAGTGCTGTTCCATTCTTACCACATGCCCAGAAGCGTTTTCAAGTGACTGGAAAGAGACAAATGGTGCCTACAGGTAGTCCTCGACTTACACTTTGCTCAGTGACCGTTCTAAGTTACAACGGCACTGAAAAGTGACTTATGACCGTTTGTCAGACTTACGAACATTTGCAGCATCTCCGTGGTCGCACGATCAAAACTGAGAATGCATAGCAACTGACTCGGATTTATGACAGTTTGCAGTGTCCAGGGGTCACGCGATCCCCTTTTGCGACCTTCTGATAAGCAAAGTCAACGGGGAAGTCAGATTCACTTAATAGCCGTGTTACTCACTTAACAACTGCAGTGATTCACTTAACAACTGTGGCAAGAAAAGTCATAAAATAGCACAACAGAAACTTTGGATTCAATTGTGGTTGTAAGTCAAGGACCATCTGCATAACCAGTTCTCACACTTACGACCCTCATAGCATCCCCACGGTCACATGATCAAAATTTGGCCGCTTGGCAACCGGCACGTATTCAAGACAGTTGCAGCATCTGGGGGAGGGGGGAGGATCACGCGATGGCCACTTGCGACCTTCCCAGTCGGCTTCCAATAATAAAGCAAAGTCAATGGGGGGAAAATGGATCTGCTTAATGACCTTGTGACTTCCTTAACACCTGCGGCGATTTGCTGAACAACAGTGGCAAAAAAGGTGGTAAAATTAGACAGGACTCCCTTAACTGCCTTGCTTAGCAGTGGAAAGTCTGGTCCCAAATGTGGACGTAAAGCCAGGACTACCTGTATCTGTATGCTGCATCACAAAAAGGGCAGCAGCTGAATTCAACCAAGCACAGATTCGTGGCTTGTATTCACGCCAAAGCGTGGTAGAGCCCAGCTAAGAAATCACGGGCGCTCTGTCCACGTATCATCGCGTGGGATTCTGGCTGGCGTCTGCTTGGAGAAGTAGAAAAACACAAGCAGAAGTTCTTAAGCCAAAACAGCAGGTGCCAAGAGATGACGGCTTGTTTTTCCTGACAGCTAGCAAGCATCTCCTGGGGCTGTGATGCTCGAGTAAAAGGCTGCGTTTAGTCACTGGGAATCAGAAGAGCAGCTTCCTAAGTGTTTTCTCCAGCAGCTGCAGGTTCAAAAAAAAAAAAGAATTCTTTTTGTTCTTCTGGGGGGGGGGGAGGAGGAGGAGGAGGAGGCAAATCCCCACTTACCCTGTAAAAAGCTTCCCATCCAGCAGGACCATGTAAGGGGGGTGGCGGCCATCCGACAGCACCCACTTCAGGTCAGATTCCTTCTCTACCACGTGAATGACTCCCGTGTCTCCGTTCATGGAGGCTGTGAGGGAAGAGAGGTCAAGGACACCAGAGGGACAAATTGCACACCCACAACCTCCTGCGAGGTTCAGGCATTCATGTATCACCCTAGGGCAGGGGTAGGCAACCTTGGCTCTTTTATGACTCGTGGACTTCAACTCCCAGAATTCCTGAGCCAGCTATAAGGTTGCCTACCCCTGCCCTGCGGCATTCTCCCCAAAATTGGCCAATTGTCCCCATTTAGGGGCAAAGGACAAAACAGCTGCCTCTCCAGATGTCAAGAGCCTCATTTTATGAATAACACTTGAAAATACAGGAAATGAATCACAGTTGTTAGTACCACCCTTTTTACTGATGTGGCACTGCCCCAGCTACAACCTAATTACCCTTCTGAGCCCCTGAATTATTAAGTAAAGACTGGCTTGGCCCAGCCCCAAACAATAGAATATCTTGAAGGCTTTCGGGGGGACGACCTCTCTATTTCCATCCTGCACCCCTCTGGTCACAAAACACCCTCCTTACCGCTTGGCAATTTTCACCACAAAGCATTTTACAGGTAGTTCTCGACTTACAACCATTCAAAGTTACAACAGCGCTGAAAAAAAGGGGACATATGACCGTTTTTCACACTTATGGCCATTGTAGCATCCCCAGGGTCATGTGATCAAAATTGGGAGGCTTGGCAACTGATGTTCATCTTTACGACGGTCGCTGTGTCCCAGGATCACGCGATCTCCTTTTGCAACCTTCTGACAAGCAATGTCAATGGGGAAGCTGGATTCACTTAACCACCGTATCATTAACTTAACTGCAGGGATTCACTTAACAACCGTGGCGAGAAAGGTCGTAAAATGGGATAAAATTCACCTAACAAATGTCTCATTTAGCAACAGAATTTTGGGGCTCAATTTGTGGTCTTAGTCGAGGACTACCTGTAGTGAAATTAGAAGGCACCACAAGCAGCGAATGGGGTCTGAGATTCATAAAAGCAAAAGGGAGAATGGAAGCATTGCTGTCATACACTGCTTCCGTGCTTTGGAACTCTATCGGCACGGTATAGAGGGCTCTGGGGCCCAGCAAAATGGGCTGGGAGTGCAGGTAGCCTACCTGCGGTCCACACCTGCCTGGCCTACTTACTATCAGACACGAGCGACTGGCAGTGTCCCCCCAAGGAAATATTCCTTCAACACGACACTCACACTGGCAGCCTATCTGATGAGTGGCATTCAGGAGACGGACGCAGGTGGCTGTTCTATTCAGTGGGATGTAGATTTTCTTCTCCACAGAGTTGCACCAGCCTGAATCTGCACAAAAAGCGATGGATTTAATAGGATTTTTTTTTTCTTAGAAAAACAAACAAACAAAAAAAAGTGACTAGAAAACAGGAATATCCTGCTCTGGTGCTGGCAAGGCAGACCAGATTGACCAAGGGTTCATACAGGCTTGGTGGATTTCAACTGCCAGAATTTACAGCAGTTGAATACAAAGTCCAATCCTTGCCCTAGGCCAGACATGTCAATCCCACGACGTCACGCAATGTATCGGGACTCTTTTGCCATTGCCAGAAATGGGGTGGGCACGGTTTCTGCATGATGTGTCCGGCCCAGGGGCTGGCAGTTTGACACCACTGCCTTAGGCCCAACCTCCATTCCTTATAGCATTTGAAGCAATGAGAAAGGTGGAAAGCAAGCTCCTGGCAGGAGGGGGGAATGTGGGCTAACATTATCATAGGACAGCCATGTAAATAAAAATATTAACAGCATAATTAGTTGCACTCATTTGGATAAGGGAGACTTCCGTTTTAAGTCAACCATTAAGCAGAACCTGAAAGCTTGTTTCATAACTCTCCAAATTGAGCAATACAGATTTCTGAAATTTTGCCCAGATTGGAGGCATAAAACTAGAACTGAACCAAAGGGGATAAATTCTTCCCTGGAATTTCCTCCATGACCAAACGCGTATATCAAAACAACTGATTACAGTACAAATACCACAACTTGTGCAAGTGGTAACCAGTTGTCTTTTTCTCATTATTTACATTCTACTTAGAGTATTAAGTACAGTATTAAGGATCATTATTTACAGTATTAAAGCTATTTTTTTACTAAAAAAAAAGAAAGCTAAATCTCAGTCTGTAGAATACAATAGAGCTGTAAGAGACCTTGGAGGTCTTCTAGCCCAGCCCCCCCGCTCAAGCAGGAGAATCTCAAGACAAGTGACTGTCCAGTCTCTTCTTAAAAATCTCCAGTGATGGAGCGCCCACGATTTCTGGAGGCAAGCTGTTCCACTGGTTAATTGTCCTCACTGTCAGGAAGTTTCTCCTTAATTCCAGGTTGCTTCTCTCTTTGGTCAGTTTCCGACCATTGTTTCTTGACCTGCCCTCTGGAGCTTTGGTGAATAACGTGACCCTGTCTTCTTTTTGGCAGCTCCTCAAGTACTGGAAGACTGCTATCATGTCACCCCTATTTCTTCTTTTCTTTAGACTGGACAGACCCAAGTCCTGCAGCCGTTCTTCGTATGTTTTATTTAGTCTCTAGGACTTTGATCATCTTAGTTGCTCTTCTCTGAATTTTTTCCAGACTCTCAACATCTTTTTTGTGATATGGTCACCCAAATTGGCTGCAGTATTCCAGGTGTAGTCTTACTACGGTTTTATAAAGCACTACTAATATTTCACGTGATCTTGATTTTAGCCTCTGTTTATACAACCCAGGATTGTATCAGCTTTTTTGGCTGCTGCTACAGACTGCTGGCTCATGGTGAAGTGATCGTCTACTACGACTCCAAGGTCCTTCTCAGTTACTGTTTTTAAGCCAGGTTTCGCCCAGTCTGTACTCCTACCTTTGATTTTTCCTGCCTAAATGTAAAACTTTGCTTTTTTCCACACTGAAGCTCATTTCGTTAGACAGGATCCATTGTTCAAGTTTGTCAAGATCTTTTTTGGATCCTGAGTTTGTCTTTTTGGGTGTTGGTTATTCCTCTCAGTTTGGTGTCATCTGCACATTTGATGAGTTCCCCTTCTAAGTCATTCATGAAGATGCTGAAGAGTACTGGGCCTAAAACAGAGCCTTGTGGTACCCCACTGCTTACTTCTCTCCATGTGGATGTAGTACCATTGAAGACTACTCGTTGAGTACTGTTTGTCAGCCAGCTACAGATCTACCTGGTGGCGATATTGTCTATTCCACCTTTTTCTAGCTTACCAAGGAGTAGGTTGTAGTCTACTTTATCAAATGCCTTACTGAAGTCTAAGTGTACGACGTCCACAGTATTCGCTGGTCTATTAATTTAGTCACTTTGTTGAAGAATGAAATAAGATTGTTTTGGCATGATCTGTTTTTAACAAATCCGTGCTGGCTACTAGTTATAACTTTGTTTGCTTCTAGTTGTTTGCAGATCTGTTTTTTGATTATCTTTTCCAGGATCTTCCCAGGTATTGATGTTAGACTGATTGGTCTGTAGTTTCCTGGGTCTGTTTTTTTTCCCCCTTTCCTTTTCCAATCCTCAGGTATTTCCCTGATTCTCCAGGATTTTTGAAAGATATGGTGCAATGGTTTTGAAGCTAGGAAACCTCCCTCCCTCCCTTGATTATTTATCATAATCAACCATCATCATCCCCATCTTACATCACAGTAAACACCTGGGAACAAAGGATATAACATAATAATAAAAATCATATTAAAAAGGTGCTAGGTAAAATGAGTCCATACTTATAAACTCAGTAAAAGTCCACATATTGTAAGGAGACCATTTGCAAATAGAACAGCAAATCTGGAGCCACAAAGCAAAAAAAAAAAGAAAAAAAAAAGAGGAGCACTGCTAAAGACCACTATTTTTATCCCATCTTTGTTAGTTTATAAATAACAAGGCAGTGAACCTACTCACTTTCATCCTCCTCCTTTCTCCACAATAATAGCAACCCTGTGAAGTGGGCTGGGTTGAGAGGGTATATCAGGCTTAAGCTTTCATGCCTAAGGCAGGATTAGAACTCACCGTCTCCTAGTTTCTAGGCAGGCACATGACCAACCAGCACCATCAGAACCATTCCACGCAGCTTCAATTGGCACTTGAGAATGCGACAGCCTTGGTCATAAAGCGGCCCGTGTATGGAGATGCCACCCAAAGCCAAGCATCCCATGTTGGCATAATCCTGTACTCCATTAAGTCCCCCATAGACCTCGCTGTCCCTCAGATACCCAAATCTCTGAAGTTTCCATACAGCTAACTTCAACTGGCGCCCTCCTCAACAGCTGGACTCCAGCTTGGTTAATCCCAAACAGCATAAACCCAACCTCTCCTTGATTGGGATTCTTGAAAGCGCAACATCAGTAAAGACTCCAAATCCCATCAGCCTGGATGGAAGTGCCTTATCTTTGTACAAAGCCCTTTGGAGGGTCTAATTTTTGGCTTAGGATAAAGGGCCAACTACTCTATCTATCTATCTATCTATCTATCTATCTATCTATCTATCTATCTATCTATCTATCTATCTCATGTCAGTTATCATCTATCATCTATGTATATCAGTTATTATCTCTTTACCAAACATAGCAATCTAGTTATCTATAGTAGCTAGCTATCACTATCATCTTTTTATCTCTCAGATATCTATCACCCATGTCTATTATCCATCTATCTTCTATCTGTATCATCTATGCCTGTCTATCTATCCACACATTTTCTTTCATCTATCACCTATCCATCCGTCCATTTTCTTTCCATCACAGCCAGCCAATACTTTATAAGGAAGTTGTAAATATACCGAATACTCCTCCCTCCTTTATTTCCCACCACCACAGCCCTGCGAGGTAGGCTGGAGAGAGACTGAGAGTGAGATAGAGAGAAGTCACAGCTTGCCTCCTAGAATAAGGCCCTGTAGAGACCCTCGTGGTTTGTTCAACACCCAGGCCGTGCCGGGGGGGCATCATGGGAGCTGGAGTCCAGCCCCTCCGGCTGGCAACTGTTTGGGGACGACACTCCGCCGCGACGAGGCCCACGGTCCCCGCCCTCCGGGCCCCGCATTTCGCCTCACCAGGCCCGGATGGCCCCGAGCGCGCTCTCCCCGCGCGAGAGATCCTCACCGGGCGCCAAGACGCACAAGAAGATCCCGCAAAGGACCCAGGCCGCCACCCTCGCCTTCATCCTCCGGCCGCTGCAAGGGGCCGCTTCCACCTCCGCTTCAATAGCCGCCATCTTGCCGGCAACTTCCGCTTCCTGCCCAAGCTGGGCTCTGTAGCGCGGCGGCGGACCCTTCTCTATGGTTCCGGGCGGCGGTTCCTTCCGGTTTCCGTGAGAAGAGCGTCGGCTTGGCGTCTTCCTCCTCCGATAGGGGGCGCTAGACCCGCGCCGCTCTTTCCCTATCGCTGGTACCTAGCCGGAAGCGGAAGTGGGGGAGTGGGCGCCGTCCCGGCAGCGGTGACGTGGAGGCGGCGGCAGCAGCAGCAGCAGCGGCAGCTGAGGAGGCGACGGGGCGCAGCGGAGATGCTCACCAAGTTCGAGACCAAATCGGCCCGCGTGAAAGGTAGGCCGGGCGCCCCAGGGGAGCAGCGATGCTGAGGGCGGGGGTCTCCCGGCTGGCTTGAAAAAACCGCTATGGGGGTCCCAGTCAGGGCCCTGCGGGCGGGGGGGGGTTGAACCCTGCCCCGGTGCATCTGCAGCAGAAGACGCGGGTCTCGTTTTATCTTCGGTTATTCCGGTGTTTCTCAAGCTGGGCCACTTGAAGGTGGGAAGGACTACAATTCCCAGAATCCCCCAGCCAGCCTGCTCTAAGATAGGTGGACTTCGGCTCCCAGAATCCCCCAGGCACCTATGATGTGCTGGCTGGGGAATTCTGGAGTTGAAGTCCGCCCATCTTCAAGTGGCCCAGCTTGAGAAACACTGGGTTATTCAGTTTAAATCTTCCCCTTTCCCCCTACACAGCGCTCCAGAAGGCTAGCTGCACAAAGCAATAAAGCATCAACATCTGTCTAAAGCAGATTTTACAGAGGATTCGAAACCCCTACGTTTCATGCATACAAAGATTTTATTCACCAGGTAGCTGGAAGCCAGTATTCTTGGCTGAGTTTCCCAGTGACAAAATGTTGTCTCCGTGCATATCAACTGAATAAATTTCTAGCATAATAAATGATTTCCCCCCCCCCAATTTCTATAGCCACTTCTGCATCGGCTCATAATTGTAAAACCGTTAAACCGTTAAACCATTACAAACATTAAAACAATAAAATGATACAAAAAAGACGTTGAGACTCTGGGAAAAGTGCATAGAAGAGCAACACTGATGGTTAACGAACTGGAAACTAAAACATATGGACAATTTGCAGAAACTGGGTATGAAGAGAAAGGACTAGGGGTGACATGATAGCAGTCTTCCAATATTTGATGGGTTGCATAGACAAGAGAGGGCCAACCTGTTCTCCAAAGCACCTGAAGGCAGGATAAGAAGCAAAGAGACTTTGCTTCTTAACAAAGAGAGAAGCAACCTAGAATTAAAGAGAAATTTCCTGACAGTGAGAACAATCAGTGAAACGGCTTCCCTCCAGAGATTGTGAGTGCCCCATTGCTGGAGGTTTTTAAGAAGAGACTGGACAGCCATTTGTCTGAAATGATATAGGGTCTGCTTGTGGAGGGGACTGGATTAGAAGCCCCTTCCATCCCTATGATTCTGTGTTCTAGTATTCTATGTTCTAGAAGTTCTTGCTTCTACGGGTATCAGAACAGGTGGAAAGTTATGTGTTTTGGGCACTGGGCACACCTGCAGAGTAAAGACACTGCTGTTGTGATTTTGCAAAGATGTAATAGAAAATTAAGAGTTCTCATTGACTGGTGTCATAAACCATACTATTATCTGTTATTACCCACCTGACCTGTGTTGTGGGAATCCAACCTCATCTCAGTCTTGGCACAGTTTATAGAAAATGCCAGTACTTTATTAAGTTAGGGAAAAATTGATCTAAGTAATTGGTTTGTTAATTGTAAACAATGATAAATTTCTTAGCCTGGTGTTCCTTTGCATCCAAGCTGGAAAGGTAGATCAATATCTATTTATGCGTAAGTAAAAGGAGAGGTCTTCCATGGATACATGGTGAGAGGCCCTTAAAAAGGTAAAAAAAGTCACTTGATATATAGGTCAAAACATAAAGTTCAAAACTGTGCATAGACCTTGCCTCTGGCCTGTCTGAACCAGTCCTTATCAGAATTTCACATTTTTGTTTGTCATTTCAAAGAACTAGAAAGATTAATTAAAGGCACAGCTAATTATTGAAAACGTTACCCAAAGAGACAGCCCTCTCTTGCTCCCACCAGATTTCTCTGCTGAAAAGTTGTAAATTTTCCTTGGTTTATGACCATTTGCTTAACAGCAACAGACCCCCACCCCAAGGTATTTCCAACCCAATTCTGATGTCCAGGGGTCTCCCCCCCGAGTCACATGGACACTTGGTAGCCAGCCTGCATTTATGGCTGTTTGCTGCGTCCCATGGGTCATGTAATCGTGCTTTAGGATGTTTTTGCTCAAACCCGACATTTTCTTCCGGTTTTCAGCAAAAATGGCGCATTATGCACAATGGGTTCTCTTTACAACCATGGTGGCTGCTTAGCTAAACACAACCACTGCAAACAAGGTCATAAAATGATTCCAGTCATGGGGTGACCCACTTTATGACCATCGCAAATTACAACGATAGTGGGAAGGCTCCATTACGATTGTCAGTCAAGGTTTTCCGAGTGCTCTGTGGAAAATAAAAACTGCGGCTGACTTCCAAGAAACACATCTAGTTTTTACCTCTGTTTCAGGGTTGAGCTTTCACCCTAAACGACCTTGGATCCTGACGAGTTTGCACAATGGGGTGATCCAGCTCTGGGACTATCGGATGTGCACCCTCATTGACAAATTTGATGAACACGATGGTAAGTGACGGTTACACTGTGTGCACGGAAGCCGGGCCGCTTGCCTATAAAATGTGAGAGGTCGCCTAGCTGACCTCAGCCTGCCTTGCTGGATCTAATTGGACGGAACCAAGTCTGCCCAAGGTTGATTTTGCAGAACTGGAGAGATAAAATACTATATAGGCAAAGTAGATCTTGTAGCTCAGTGGTTCTCAACCTGTGGGTCGGGACCCCATTTGGGGTTGAACGACCATTTCACGGGGGTCGCCAAACAACGCAGTCCGCCATTTTTTCCCCCTTTTCCTTAGCTGTGCTCCTCCCTTTTCTTCTATTGGCTTTCGAAAGCCAATAGAATAGACTCTCTTGAATAGAGTCTAATTCTATTGGCTTTCCAAAGCCAATAGGGATTGTCCAGGCTGTCTCTGCCCTGCTGAGCCCGCCAAAAGTCCCATTCTGCAAACGGTGCTGCACCAGTCAAGTAGTCCTCGACTTACGACCGGTTGAGTAGTCCTCGACTTACGACCTGTTGGGGGTCGCGGCATTAAAAAGGTTGAGAACCACTGCTATAGCAGATGAGTTTCATTCAACAGAGGGAAGGAGTGAGCGAGAGTATGCCAGAAGGAAAAAAAGAAAAATCACAAGTAGCAGAGGGAAAATACTGCTATTGCCGGATTGAGCTAAGCGGTTGAAAAAACAGTGAAACGCCTCACCTCTTCTCTTGATTTCTCTGTATTTTATATTTGCTTTCCAGGACCTGTCAGAGGGATCGATTTCCACAAGCAGCAGCCGCTGTTTGTGTCCGGAGGGGATGACTATAAAATCAAGGTAATGTTAGGCGGTGGAAGTTGTTGGGTTGGGACGGTTTACGAGGGGATGGAGAGTTCTTTAAAAGCCTCTGGAGCAGTGGTTCTCAACCTATGGGTCGCGACCCCATTTGGGGTCGAACGACCATTTTACGGGGGTCGCCAAACAACGTGATCCGCCATTTTCCCCCCTCAGGGGGCGGGCCACGCATGCGCGCCGCGCCGCGCATGGGGGTGGCACGTCCGTGTGACGGGGATCGCCGTCACACAAAGGTTGAGAACCGCTGCTCTGGAGGGAAGCAGGATGGTGGTTCAGCTGCTGTTTTCCCTTGAGTACAGGTCGTCCTTCGCTTACAACGGTTCGTTTAGTGACCGTTCAAAGTTACAGCGGCACTTGTATTTGTCTTTTACACAATGGTTGCAGCATCCCCATGGTCAAGTGATCAAAATTCAGATGCTTGTCAACTGGTTCATGTTTATGACGGCCACAGTGTCCCAGGGTCACGTGATCCCGTTTTACGACCTTCTGACCAGCAAAGTCAGTGGGAAAGCCAGATTCACTTCCACAGCCGCGTTACTAGTTTTCACAGCTGCAGTGATCCACGTAACAACTGCAGCAAGAAAGGTCGTAAAAATGAGGCAAAACTCACTTAACAACTGTCCTACTTAGCAACAGAAATGTTGGACTCAATTGAGGACTATCTGTATGAACCGAGATTGAAACAGACTTGTAAGGTGGAAATGTAGGTAAGAGAACCTTTTGGGAGGCCCCATGTGAGGCCCTCTCCTAACAGGGAGAACCATTAACCCAATGGTTCTCAACCTTTTTAATGCCACGACCCCCAACCGGTCATAAGTCGAGGACTACTCAACCGGTCGTAAGTTGAGGACTACTCAACTGGTGCAGCACCGTTTGCAGAATGGGACTTTTGGCGGGCTCAGCAGGGCAGAGACAGCCTGGACAATTCCTATTGGCTTTTGAAAGCCAATAGAATTAGACTCTATTCAAGAGAGTCTATTCTATTGGCTTTCAAAAGCCAATAGAATAAAAGGGAGTAGCACAGCTAAGGAAAAGGGGGAAAAAATGGCGGACTGCGTTGTTTGGCGACCCCCGTGAAATGGTCGTTCGACCCCAAATGGGGTCGCGACCCACAGGTTGAGAACCACTGCATTAAACAGTGAACAGCTGGCCTTCGGAAGTTGTAGGTGCTTTCTCCCTGGAGGTTCAGACAGCCAGCTGTCTGAAATGGTGTAGGGTCTCCTGCTTGAGCAGGGGGCTGGAGTAGAAGACCTCCATTCCGATTCTGAATCGTGTGTGATCTGTAATTAATTAAAGGAGGGAAAAAAACCGCCATCTAGGATTCGCATTATTGACGCCTGTGCTTTCCTCCTCAAGGTCTGGAATTACAAACTGCGCCGTTGTCTCTTCACACTGCTGGGCCACCTGGATTACATCCGCACCACCTTCTTCCACCACGTGAGTCCTGCTTATGTCCTCTTGTCTCTGAGCATTCGGCAGCACCCCGGAAGGTTTCTTTGGGGGTTCAGGAAC